GTTTAGAGAAGTGGTAAGTAATGAGGACAAGGCTGATCTGTTGGTTAGGAGTTTCCAGCAAGTGCACAGTGAGAGGAATGTTGGCAGTGAAGGTTTGATTAGGAGGGAGATAATGCTTGAGCAGGAAGGGCATAAACTTAACAAGAATAATGACAACAGTGATGTAATCAATGTGTTCTTTTCCATACATGAACTAAGAAGGTCAATAAGACGAGGGAGGCACTCTGCTCCTGGAAGAGATGGATTGGGATATGAGATCTTTCAGCATATGGATGACTTTGCATTGGAGGAGGTATTGGCATTGATTAATACCGATTTTAAAACCCGGTAAGGAAGCTGAAAGGCCTGGATCATACAGACCAATTGCTCTCACAGCTGTTATATGTAAGATTATGGAAAGGATGGTTACTGACAGGTTGGTATACAGATTAGAAAAGAGAGGTCTTGTTGGCCTCGTGTCCTGCCCCTGGAGCCCCGGATGGCTTTTGCTCATTTCTGGGTGGGTGGTGTGTCCCTGGGCCTGGGGGCCCGTTATCTCCTCTCCTCGCCTGGGCCCTCTTCGGCAGGGGTGGGGCTCCCGCTGCTTCCCCCTGCCAGCTCTCTCACAGTGGGGGCATTCGGGAGTCTCTGGGGTGCATGGCCGGTGTTCGGGGTAGGTTTTGGTGCTCCTCCTTGGGGTGCTTGACTGGGGGGGCTGGGCCACCGTCCAGGGATGAGATCGGCCTCGGGGGGCCGCTGGCACTGCCTGCATTCTGGGGAGGGATGCCTCTGGCTGGGCTGGGGGACCGTTGGCCTGGTTCTCCCGCGTTATCGCTCCCTGGCGGCAGGGAGCTTCCCGGTACGGCTTTCTGCTGTTCTTCCTTGGGGCGGGGTACAGCCTCCCCCGGGACATGCGGTCTGGGGTCCTTTGCGCTTTGGGGGGTCCTGGCTTCTGGGGGTGGGGGTCTCTGCGCGGGTTGATCCGATTGCGGTTTGGAGGGCTGCGGTGGGATTGTGGGGCGATTGTCGATGCATCTTGATGCATTGTGCCTTTTCCCTGGGCAGGGTCTCTGAATGGCTGCTGGGCGTTTAGTTTGTGCATTGGAGTCCGGGGAGGCATTTCCTCGTTGGCTTGGAGGGACCAGTTTGCGTCCCTGTTTTGCTTCGTTGGCCTCGGATCCATGCTTCCCCATTTCTCTGTCGGCCAGTTGTTGGACCCCTCTGGATACTGAGGTATATAGTTAGTTTTCGGGATGTGCAGTGTGGGTGCGGGGCAGGGCTGTGCTCCGGTTTGTTCTGGGTTTGTGCCTGGAGTTCTCGGCCCTTGACGGGTGGGTGGGTTGTCGGTAGCCTGCAGCTGAGCTAGTTGATTTTGCCTCGTTGCTGGTTTGGCTGGTGTTGCACGGCGGCCGGAGGGCGTGCTGGGCCTTAGTTTTTTCCGGCGGTTGGGGGGACCTGTGCGGCGAGTTTGCTGCCGGGCTGGGACTTGCTGCTGGTGTTTCTCTCCGCTGGCTTTCGCTGTCGTGTTGTTCCGCTCGCTCTCTCTCGTTTGCCCAACCTCGCACGTGGGATTCGCGGGGGCTGCTGGGCATTGGGTGTCGCCGTGCTCGTGCAGTGTGCGCGTTGGGCTCGTCACTTGTGCATTGCTGGGTGGGGGGGGGGGGGGGGGGGGGGGGGTTGGTGGGGTGCACTGGTCTATGTTGTGTGCGCGCCGCGGTCGGTCCGGGCGCTGCTCTTCCGCGGGTTATGCTTCTTGCGTTCCATCGGCATTACGTTGTCAACTGGCATTTGGGTCGGGGTCTTTTGCGTTTGCATCGCGGTGCATCTGGGAGTCTTTGTTTTTTGATTGATTTATTTTATTTCTTCCACCCCTATTGGCTACTGGGGTTCTTGCCTGCCTGTTACAGTCGTGGCGTCTCCCACTCTCACTAACAACTACATTCTTTAACAGGCTTATGCGCACAGTCTCACACACAGACACAAACAAACTTAGGTTGTCCCTGGTAGAATTATTCCTGATGCTTTTCTTTCAGTTACTTATTTAAATTAATTATTATTCCAGCTCTCGTGGCTGTGCTGTGTTGCTTATTTAGAGTGTGTGACTGTTTCTTGTTTTCATTGTTCTCTTAGTTGTCTTAATATGTCAGCTGGTTATTGCTGCTGTTCGGCTGGTTGTCTTTTACTATTATTATTTTTATTGTTTTTTTTGTTTGTGTTTGTTTGTTGTTGTTTTTCTCCTGCCCAAGCCCCCTCTCTGTTCTATTGCAGGTTTCGTTGCTTTCTGCAATTGGTGTTTCCCACAGCTTTTCCCTGTTGTCCCCACCTTCCATCCCCCTTCTCTTACAGGTGTTGTCCTTTCTCTGTGCTGTCTGTTTGTGCCCCCCCATCCCCGTGTCTGCCCCCCTGTCCGGCCCGGTGACAAATCAATGACAAAGGAGTATATTAATACACTCTCGTTAAAGTAAAATCTGTCTGGCACAACATGGTATCCAGCTCATCATACTCTATAGCAGGCTGCTGGGCAGGACAGGTTTTTTTTTAAAAGAAAAGAGGTTTTTTCTCTACATATCAGAATGGTTTCAGACTTGGTCGTGGGACTGTGGATTCAGTTTTAGTGTTGAAGAAAGCCCTTGTAAATAAAGAGGTGGTGGTAGGTGTGTTTTTTGATATAGAGAAGGCTTATGATATGCTGTGGAAAGAAGGAGTAATCATTAAGTTGTATGATGCAGGGATTCGGGGTAGAATGAGTATTGATGACTTTCTGAGGTCACAGTGTATTCAAGTAAGAGTAGGAGGGAGTTTTTCTGACTCTATGTTCGTAGATAATGGGACTCCGCAGGGTAGTGTCATCAGTCCAGTTCTGTTCAATGTAATGGTAAATAATATGTTTGATGACGTAACATCATGATAACATCTTTGTTTGCAGATAATGGAGCAATTTGGAAAAGAGGCCGTAATACTGGGTACTTATTTAAACAGATGCAGTGTGCTTTGAATAAGGTGCAGGCTTGGAGTGATAAGTGGGGTTTTAGGCTGTCATTGACAAAAACAAAGTATATGGTTTTTGGCAGGAAGAGGAATATAGACAGTCTGGGTCTTAAGTTGTATGGGGAACCTCTTGAGAGAGCCAGGGTCTTCAAGTATCTTGAGGTCTGGGTAAAAGCTAACGTATAAAGAACATGTATGTAGAATGGTGAATAAATGTGGAAAGGTTATTAATATTTTAGGGAATAGTGTGGGTTCCAGCACATGTGGGGGTTTGAGGGGGAATGAGGCTGCTGATGAGGCTGCAAGGGCAAGTTTAGGTAGGGAAAATGTGGAGGTGCCATTTGACAGACTGGAGTGCCGTAGCATCATTAAGGAAAGACTGACACAACAATGGCAGCACGAGTGGAGTAAAGACACCAGCGGGAGAAAGTTCAATGACGTAAAACCATCAGTCAAACCTGGGAACACAATTATCTTGCCTCGGATGGATCAGATTAAGTTGGCCCGATTAAGACTGAGTCATTGTGGATTGGCAAGTGGGCCGTTTCTTGGTGGGAAAGCACAGGGACGGCAAGTGAGGCAGGTGTATTTGATGTAGATAATTGGTTGGGATTGGGGCTGTGTCTTAAAGAAAGACTAACTGGCTTGTAGGAGCCAGAATACTTGCTGTTTGTCCAGGGGGTCAAATACTTGTTTTTCCTCATCAGATGGTTATCAATTTTTATAAATTCATATGATGTGATTTTTTGGAATTTTCTTTGGGATTCTGTCTTTCACTGTTAGAATGTACATATGATTAAAATTGTAGATTGTTGCATTCTTTGTAAGTGGGCAAACCTGCAAAATCAGCAAGGGGTCAAATACTTATTTCCCCCACTGTAACTGAAGCAAATTCCTTGATGTGTAATACACAACTTGGCAATACAACTCTTTCTAATTCTGATTTATCACATTTCAAGTTGATTGTGAAATCGGCACAGTACCTGCGTGTGCACTCTTTTATATAATACATTGTGTTACAGTCAGGCTTACAGTGTACTGTGCAAAAATCACTTCTCTTTGGAGTTGCGGGATTTCCTTCTATTCATCTCCATATCTAAGTCCAAGTCCTGTTTTTATTTAGTTAATTTTTTCAAGTGTGTGCAGTTCAGACATCTGACAGTTTGTAAAACACATAACAGTTAGCACAGCAGGAAGTGTTGACCTGTGGGTGTGCTTATACTTACTACATTGGCAGCCTGGCTGTCAGATTGCAGGACTACAGCCTCAGGCTCAAGTTACAGATATCAGACAGTATTTCTATGAGCACCACAACACTGACTTTTTAACTATTATCCATAATGACTAAACAAGTACACCATTTTCACACAAAACTGACAGACCTCCAGCCTCTCTGCCAAGCCTACTATACATATATACACTCACTTTTTAAAAGTATTTGTTAAAAATGCTGCTTGCAATAAAAAATGCTAAATAACTGAAAAGGCTTTAAGAAAGGTTAATAAGAAAACATGCAATGCAAACATAGAAGAAACATGTGTGCATTGTCCAAAAAAGAACAAGCTGCTGATGGTGCATTATGCCAGCTTTTTCTCGCTCTTTTAATACTGCGGCCGTGTTTCTCTTTCTTTTTTTTATATTATTCGTTACACACAGTGAGTAACAGTGAATAAAGTACGCTACACACGTCTTTTCCATTTCGGCATCAATGAATCTGTGATCGACAGCGTGGGCACTTGAAGAAAGCTGTTGACGCCCATTTATCTGAATTACTTCCACCTGGCTTGACATAGTCGCACCTTCTGAGCCTGGTTTGGCCTTTGTGAAACTGATAAAGCCAGGATGCACTGATCGCACCAGGTCAAGCCTGGCTTTATCTCTTATCCTGGATTTCTAAGTTCTGCTTTTGTGAAACAGCCCTTCTCAGGAAGCTCAAAGCCCAGGAAGTAATTACCAATAGCTGTCAGGTTTCCGCCCACACACAAACACACAGTGAGCAGGACTGAAGAGAGTCATCCAGGATGGTTACTTACCTTCAATGGTAACTTCTCAGGATCTGTGGCAGTGGCAGAGTTTCCTGTTGAAACAGGTTACTGAGTTACATGAACAATCAGAACAACGCAACTGTTGTGAAAAATAGTTCATCAGAATCACAATCAGCTTTATTGCCAGGTATGTGTACACATACGAGGAATTACTCACAATATGCTTCACTAGCAAGGACCACGCCCCAACAATCATGTCATTTAAAGGTTTAATGAATGTTCTGAATGTACAGATAGATAAATGGATGTAGAGGGGAATGAAAGGATGCCATCTGGATGCTGATCTGGGAGGCTGCGTGATGAGCGGGCAGCTGAGACTCAGAGTGGGGGTTCCGTCTCGGTAGAGGTTTCGCCCGAGTGATTTATTGACCCCCAAAAAGATTTGGATTATATTGCGCTGAGCCGTGTGTGGGCTTGATGGAGATCGTTGAGATTGTTGTGAATGTATGAACGGAAGGCCTGGGAGGACAAACGTACGAGGACCTTAATGGTTTGGTCGGAGATGCCCGATCTGGCCGCCGTGGAAGCGCCGCCGATGCAGAATAATGGCTTGAATAATGTTCGGGTAATGTGCCTGAGATGCTGAGGATTCTGTTCAGATGTTTCTGGAACCAGAATCGAGTGGCCATTTTTCCTGTTTCGGTGAGGAAAAGTGGGTGTTGTGGTGATGCCTTGGCGGCATAGCTGGAGCGGATGTATTTGGATACTGGCTCGTAGGGGCCGAGATAGGAGCTGAGTGGAAGATGTAGATGGGGAAGGAAACTCCCAGCTGATCTGTTTTACTACTTCGGAGTGTGAAAATGAGAGAGTTGGACGTGTGAATGGTGATGTCTGACAGACTGGGATGACGGGAAGGATTATGATGGCATAGGGGCGAATTCTGAACACCTCAGGAGGCCGAAGAAAGCCAGCAAAAACAAGGATTCTAGAGTCGAGTCGATTGCTGGCGACATTTCACCTGAACGGAGAGAATGGATGCAGCGACTGAGGAGGTCTGAAGTGAGAGGTAAGTGTCTAGCGGCGAGAGTGGGTTCTTGTGTCCTCATGCCTTTGACATGGTGACGTGGGAGCGAGAGATAGACGGACACAGGAAGCCGGTGACTATTCTGAAGAAGAACTTGATGCCTGCTAAGTAGGTCTGGATTGTAGAGGAGCGGATGTTTTGGATGGAATGCATTTCCATCTGCAATTTTATCACCTACGCAGGTGATGAAATTGCAGATGGACATGATGTCCAGAAATGGCAGCAGATATGTGGCGTGAAATGCCTTAAAGCGATTCCAGCCAGTCAAGTAGGCTGAGTGAGTGCTAGGGGCGAGGCTGGTTATGATGGCTTCTTGTGAGGTGTAAGAAGAGTTTCTCAGCTGAGGAGTTAACTGAACGTTGTGGCTGAAAACGGTGGCACTGGTGTGGGATAAATGTCCAATCTTGGAGCCAAGCGTCTCAATTTCTGGAAAGAGAAACGAGACAATGAATCGGCGATGCTGTTTTGGTGGCCCGGAATGTGAGCTGCCCTGAGGATGAACTGATGTTGGGCGGATATTAGTGAGAGTCTGCGAAGGAACTGTGCAATGACCGGAGAACGGGATCGACCTTTGTTTAAGTTTTCTACTACTGCTGTGTTGTCGGAGTGAATGAGTATGGATTTCCTTGACATTCATGCCCCCAAAGAATGGCGGCGATGACGATGGGATATAGTTCGTGGAGCGCCGATGAAGGAGAGCCAGACTCTGTGCTTAAATATCTGAATTCTGAGGGCCAAGTGGAGGCGAACCACCTCCCCCCGTAGTAGCCACCGAAACCTGAATGTCCTTGGGCTGGGTGATTAAATCTTCATAGAAGAAGGAAATGCCATTCCAAGAAGCCAGGAAATGTTGCCACAGGCGGATTTCCATTTTGCATGCCTTGTCCAGAACGACTATCACGGAGGACGGGTCTCTACCATGGCGACCTGTCAGTCAGGATAGAGGCGACTCGTATCCGCTGCTCTGCGTACAATTTTTTATTAGCTGGCTGTCAGCAGGAGAGAGAGCGTCATATTTGAATCTGTTAATATGTTTTGTTTTAAAAAGAAATTGTTTTTTTAACCTTTTTTTTTTTTATCATTTTACTAAACTTAAATTTTAGCTTTTTTTTTATTTTATTAATTTTTTTTATATATGGTTCCACCACTTACTCACCTTAATATCTCCATCAAAACTGGGCAATTCCCAGATGGATGGAAAAATGCCTTGGTAATGCCTATTTTAAAGAAGACCTATTAAACTGCTTTTCCAGTCCTATATTGTAGTTCTGTGACTGCTGTATGGCAGCTTTGCATGATTCAAAGTTCAAAAAAGAATTTTTTTCTCTTATACTGGCTCTTCTGAAATGAAGGCCTACACCTTCATTTCAGCCTCTGTGTGAAACAAGCTGTAGATGCTCCTGTCTCTTTAAGCCCCCCCTCTCAAAAGCCCACTGTCTTCTGATTGGCCCAGACCTGAAGCATGTTACCAGGCTGTTGTTGTTGCTGGGCGGAACAGACAGACTGAGCCATTGCCGTGCTGTTGCTATGGGAGCACATGACCATATATGGAACAGCGGCTCCGTCTGGCTCCGTCTGTCGTATTACGGAGCCGTTGGTAGAAAAAGCTGTTGAACACAGCATTAAGAACAGGAGGAAATCTGAGGTTCTTGCTCACAGTGATTACTTTTAAATACTTTAACCTCATTATTTGAAGCTTTGGCCACGTTTAACACGAACATCCAACACTGTGACATTGTAGATCAGTCATAACATGTGGAAAAGCATAATAGGTTAAAATCTGGGAATGCTGAAGTAGTTAGCCACTATAGACCAATTAGTCTTCTTCCAGTCCTGTCTAAAGTGCTGGAGAAAGTTGTTTCACAACTACTACTACATTACTTAGAGACAAACAATTATTTGCACCCCCCTACAGTTTGGTTTCAGACATAATCACTCCACAGAGTCAGCAACCTGTTTATTGCTAGAAAACATAGAAGTCACTTGACAAAGGTAATGTGGTAGGCGCAGTGTTCCTGGATTTGAAAAAGGCATTTGATACGGTAAACCACAACATTTTAATTTCAAAACTCTTAATGTTTAAATAGGAGTCAAACCAAGATAATGACCGTTTTCACAAGTTTAAGGGTCGTGAACAGTGTGTTGTAACTCAGCAAAATCGGAACAGGAATCCCCCAAGGAACTGTGTGGGGTCCCATCCTTTTTAGTTTGTATATCAACGATTTGCCAGATACATATTCTGTCCTGATCTACAGTCCCCTCCACAAGTATTGGAACGGTGAGGCCACTTCCTTTGTTTTTGTTGTTCACTGAAGACATTTGGGTTTAAGATCAAAAGATGAGACAAGAGTTCAGAATTTCAGCTCTCATTTCCTGCTATTCACATCTAGATGTGTTAAACAAATCAGGACATACCACCCTTTGTTTGAACCCACCCATTTTACAAGTGAGCAAAACTACTGGAACATGTGACTGACAGATGTTTCTTGTTGCCCAGGTGTTAAATATCTCTGCATGACTAGTCTAAGTTTTCATCCTTGGTTCAAACTGGTTCAAGACTGCATTTCCTGTTAAAGAGGATAAACCAGCATGAAGACCAGAGTGCTGTCTGTGGGAGAAAAGCAAGCCACTGTCAAGCTGAGAAAAGAAGGAAAATTGACCAGAGCCATTGGACAAACATTGGACATAGCAAGCACAATTTGGAACATCCTGAAAAAGAAAGAAACTACTGGTGTACTGAGCAACAGACGTCCAAGGTCGGCCAAGGAAAACAACAGCAGCTGATGACAGAAATATGGTGAGAGCTGTGAAGAAAACATCAGCAGCGACCTCCACAGTGCAGAGTGAAGGTATCACAATCCACTGCTGGAAGAAGACTCAGAGAGCAGAAATATAGAGGCCGCACCACAAGATGCAAACCTCTCATCAGCAGCAAGAATCACAAGGCCAGACTGAAATCTGTACAGAGATGAGCAGCAAAAGTCCTGGAACACAATCTGATGGACTGATGAGACCAAGATTAATCTCTAGCAAAGTAATGGAAAGGCCAAAGTGTGGAGACAGAAAGGAAGTGCTGATGATCCGAAGCGTACGAGCTCATCTGTGAAGCATGGTGGAGGTGATGTCAGGGCTGCTTCTGGAACAGGCTCATTAATATTTATTGATGATGTCGCAGCAGAATGAATTCAGAAGTGGACAGAAACATTTTGTCTGCCAGTTTACAGAGAAACGCATTGAAACTAATGGGGAGGAAGGTTATCATGCAGCAGGACAATGAGCCAAAGCACACTGCCAACAAAACAAAGGACTTCATCAGGGAAAAGGTTTTAGACTGGCCAAGTCAATCAGCTGACCTGAACCCAACAGAGCTGCATTTCACCTCCTTAAGAGGAGACTGAAGGGAGAAACACCCCGAAACAAACAAGAACTGGAAGAAGCAGCGGTAAAAGCCTGGAATAGCATCACAAATGAAGAATGCAACAGTTTGGTGATGTCGATGGGTCGCAGGCTTGAGGCAGTTATTGCAAGAGAGGGTTCTGCCACCAAATATTAAATGTTATTAACTTTAAGATTATTTGTTCCTTTACTTTAGCTCACCTAAGAATGCTGTGGTCTAATAGCTGTTTAACATCTAGATGTGAATAGCAGGAAATCAAAGCTGAAATTCTGAACTCTTGTCTCATCTTTTGATCTTAAACCCAAATGTCTTCAGTGAACAACAGAAACAAAGGAAGAGGCCTCACTGCTCCAATACTTTTGGAGGGGACTGACGGTCATCATGCATTTGTTCTCTGTAGCGCTACAGATGACGATACAGTCGTCCATATATCTGGCAAAACCTGTGATGATGTTGCAGATAAGCTAACCAAGGGTCAGCTTGGCTTGATGCCTCCTGTTTGACACTAAACACCAAGAAAACAAAGTCTATGTTTTTCTATTAAACAGCTATCTGGAACTGAATCCCTGAATGTTAAATTAAAGGTGAGCTTATAGAACAAGTACCAGAAGTGAGATATCTGGGGATAATTTTAGACTCCCAGTTAAACTTTAAAAGTCACACTAAACAGATTTGCAAAACGATTAAGACTAACCTCACCTGTTTTAAGATAAGAAAATGCTTGACATTTGATTGCGCCTTAATTTTTCTAAATTCAATGATACTTTCTCATCTGTCTTATGGTTTAACTACCTGGTCCCAGGCTAATCAGTCTGATTAAATCTATGGAGTGTCTCTACAATCAATCAATCAATCAGTCAGGTACCATCACTGTCGCATTTTAAGCAAATACAAGATTTTAAGTTTTGCAAACTTCATTGATTTTCATTATGTAAAGCTTGTATTTAAATGCACTGGCTCCTCAGCCTCTCTGTAAGTACATTAAGAGGCTACAGAGTAGCAGCAGATCCACCAGAGCAGCTTCAAGTGGTGACTGTAAAGTTTAATTTTGCAAAACTTCTTTTTCTCAGACAACTTGCTACCGAAACACTTGAAAACTGCTGCAAACTTCACCACTTTTAAAACCGAGGCCGAGTCCTGGTTAGTTCAGCAACAAACGTGTGCTCACATCTAGTCTACTGTAGTTAGCATTACATGTTTTTCATTGCATTTTGATTTATTCATTTTGCATCCTTTTATCTTGTGTTATACTGTTATGTATCATACTGGATCACTGTTTTAATGTTTTAATTCTTTAAAAGCCCTTCTAGGGACAGGTGTTGCAAATTAGCAACTGCTAAAAACACTATGGTGCACACATTGGATTGTTGTTTTCAGTTTATCTACGTTAGATGTATTGGTCCCTGATAAAATAAACCAAAAATAAATATCCAGGATGTATTTAATAACCAGTTAAACATGTTAACTGTATAATATAACTTACAAGTCTTTGGTTTTGTTTTTGGAAGGAGGGCCAGTAAGTTTCAAACCCACTGGCTCGGTGGGGCCAGTTGCAGAAAAGTTTAACAGTGAGCCCTGGTGGACGAGTCACAGTGGGGGATTGAACCCCAGTCTCTCCCACCAAAGGCATGTGTCTTATCCAATTCAATTTTATTTATATTGCGCCAAATCACAACAACAGTTATCTCACAGCGCTTTTCATAAAAGAGCAGGTCTAGACCGTACTCTATGATGATATTTACAGAAGCCCAACAGTTCCCACCAAGAGCAGCACTAGGAGACAGAGGCAAGGAAAAACTTCCTTTTAAGAGGCAGAAACCTCGAGCAGAACCATGACTCAGGGTGGGCGGCCATCTGCCTCGACCGGTTGGGGTGAGAGAGAGAGAGAGAGAGAGAGAGGCAGCCTACACAGTTCCACTGCCCCATCACCACTTCTACTTGCAAGAGTCTGGAAAACGGTTTCACGTATTTAATGATTTTGCAACACTTGGAGCCTCTGAGGGGCAGGATATGACATCACTTCCTGTTTTGACCATGAGTTCCAGGAAGCTCTTTCTTTATAACTTGAACATTTATTGGATTATCAAAATTATTTTCATACATTTTGATCACAAAGGGCCAAAGACTCACAAGGACTCAATGCCTAGGAGTTCAAAAATGTAGGTTTCGCCTATCTCGCCATTTTGTGAGAAATTAGTGGCAAAAACAGGCGTGCCCTGTGTCCTGAAATGCAGCTACATTCAGCTCTACTGCAGTTACTTAGAATATGTGAGAATGATATCAGATGGTACCTGGGGTACTGAGGTGGCCGGACTTCTCCAGCAGCTCTCTGACTTGTTCCTCTCCTCCATTCTCATTGAACAGGTAACATCTCCCTGAAAATGTTGGGACGAGTGGTGAAGGTTCATCTCCAAAGACACGATCTTCCAAGGACTTGTCCTGTAAAGCATTGCTGCCTATGAAGAGCAGGGAACAGTTCTTGAACCCCTGAGGCCAGAGGAATCTGTAAACTGCCTCCAGAACCTTCTCATGCTCGTTGGAGAACGGTTCAACCCTGAAAACCACCAGGAACAGACAAGGTACAGAGGACCGCAGGAGGTCCTGACACTTGCTTTTAATGTCCTCCTCTGCATCAAATATTCCTGGAGTGTTGACCACCAAGATACGTTTCCCAAAAACATCTGCGGTTGCTTCGGAGATTTGGTTTTTCACTGTTGTGGAGGATTGTCTTGAATCAAATACTTGTTTTCTCAGAATGGTATTTCCTGAAGCACTTTTACCAACTCCAGAATTTCCCAGAAGGACGATGGTGAGATCTGGATCCATGACTTACAAACCTGCTGGAGACAACAGAAAGTGAGTGAGCGGGCAATAAAAAAAATCATATAAATATATTTATTCAGCTGTAACGTGATGAGGACAAAACTCATGTAGCAGCTGAAAGATGAAACTATAGATCAATGTAGTATATAATGTTCTGCCACTAGGGGTCCCTCACATCAAAACAATAACAAAAGATGATGTTTGATGACATCATGAAGTAGCATGGGATCATGGGAAATGTTGTCTTCACCACCTTTGCCTTCCTTGCAGGCAGCTTCTCCTGGTTATGATGGTTAGAAGGTGCACACGTATTCCAGCCTTTACGGTAAGTGAAAGGGCCCAGAGTGAGCTGACAGGCAGGTTAGAGACTTTATCCTGTCAGTTTGTCTCTTTACAAAGACGAGTGCTACAGTATGAGAGTCCTACCTGAACCACATACAACATTATTTATCAAACCGGGTCGGACCGGATGGATTTAGCACGAGGAGGAAACACATGTAACAACGTCCGGTTTTCAATATAAGGCGTCTGTACAGGATGGAAATAAGATTAACTGGATTATGTTCACAGAAAGTATAAAACATGTTACAAAAAAAACATTAAATACATTTGTTGACTTTTGTTGCCGTTTCATCACCATCTATAGCTCTACAGTGGGTTTATGATCCAATAGTTTACTAGAGCACAACATTGTTCACAAGAGTGCAAAGTTCTTCATAAACAGACTCTTAATGTTGCACCAGATTTAATGCATTTAACTTTTTTATTTTATTAATTTTATTTTAATTTAAAAAAGATCAACCCAGACACCTTGACCACAGACCTCCAACATCTCTCCTCTGCTGATTTCTCCTCAGTCACTGAGACGGTTGACTTCTACAACCAGTCTCTGAGCAGTCTCCTAGATCTCCACGCCCCTGTCAAAACTAGAACTATCAGCTTCTTACGCTCAGCCCCCCGGTACACCTATGAACTCTGGCAAATGAAAACAGCTGGGCGTGTCCTAGAGCGGCACCTCAAGGCCTCAGGACTCGCTGTTCATAGGCAGGCCTACCAAGAACATCAGAAGTCCTATGCAAGGTCCTTGAGAGATGCACGTTCACAGTTCTATTGCAACATTATCAACAACAGCCCTGGCAACTCCAAGCAACTTTTCTCTACCATACATGACATCCTCAAACTGCAAACTCACTCTCATTCAGAAGCCACAGAAGAGAGGTGCAACAATTTCATCACTTTTTTCAGAAAAAAAGTAGACACCATCCGCTCCCTGCTATCCAGTTTCTCCACACTGCCTGTCCCGACTTCCGACCCACAGCCTGGGATTTCCCAACCTCTATGCTGTTTTTCTGTCATCTCACAGCGAGAGGTTGAGGACATCATCAAAAAGATGAAAGCATCCACCTGTGCCCTGGACCCCTTCCCCACAGCCCTGGTAAAATCCAACCTCCATGCCATAAGTCCCCTCATCACGAAGGTCATTAACCACTCCCTCCAGGCTAGCCATGTTCCATCAACACTGAAAACCACTGTCATCAGGGCATTTCTTAAAAAAACCCACTCTAGACCCAGAAGTCTTTGCCAACTACAGGCCCATCTCCAATCTTCCATTCCTTTCCAAGGTGCTGGAAAAAGAAGTTTCCACACAGCTTCAGGACCATATAAAACAAAAAAACCTGTTCGGTCTGGTTGACTGCAGACGTAGGCTCCCCATCTCTTTTCATCTTCCTGGACTTGACTGCAGCATTCGACACTGTGGACCACAACATCCTCCTCCACCGTCTAAATTCCACTATCGGTGTTTCTGACTCTGTCCATGAGTGGTTCTCATCTTACCTCACCGGGAGAACTGAGCATGTCACCTTGGGAGAGGCTAAATTCCTGACACACGTCACCCGAGGCTCAGTGCTCGGCCCCACCCTGTTCATTCTCTACATGCTCCCCCTTGGCCATGTCATCAGCCAGCATGGAATTTCATTCCACTGCTATGCTGATGACACTCAACTCTACCTCAGGACAAACCCAACTCCCTCTGCTGCCCTGCCATCATCCACTCTGACCACCTGCCTGGAGGAGATAAAGGTGTGGATGAAGCAAAACTTTCTGCAGGTAAACAGCTCCAAGACTGAAGCCATCTTGGTCGGCACTCCACACCGGGTTCAGACATCTTACATTACCACCATCACCTTCTCCGGACAAAATATTCCACTTTCAACATCAGGCACTAACCTGGGTGTTAAAATGGACTCTCATCTGACCTTTGAGGCTCACATCAAACATCTCTGCAAGACCTCCTTCTTTCACCTCAGGAACATCGCCAAACTCCGTCCCACACTCACTCCTGCAGAAAAGCTTGTCCACACTTTTGTCTCCTCCAGGCTGGACTACTGCAATGTGCTTCTCACCGGGATCCCTGAGAAAAGCCTTCAGAAGTTGCAGTACATCCAGAACAGCGCTGCTAGGATCCTGTTGAGGGTGCGCAAACATGACCACATCACCCCCATCCTCAAATCACTCGACTCCTGTCTCACTCAGAATTGAGTACAAGGTCTCCCTCCTTACCCACCAGTGCATCCATGGTGAGCCCCCCCCCTACCTCAAGGAACTCCTCACCCCACAGACCTCAACACGTACCCTCCAATCTGCCCCAGCATATCTCCTGAAACCTCCCAGAACCAAGCTCTGTACAATGGGAGATTGGGCTTTCTGCTCAGCTGCTCCCAGTCTGTGGAATGCTCTCCCTGACCAGATGAGGACACCACAGACTGTGGAGGCTTTTAAACATGGGCTTAAAACCCAAGAGTTCAATCAAAAGCTCTCCTAAAGACCTTTTTTTTGCCCTTTTCCTTATTGTTTTTGTTTTTGTTTATTTTATTTTATTATTTTTATTTTCATGCTCTCCATGTGTTTTTATTTTTAGCACTTAACTGTTTTATCATGTAGCACCTTGGGATTTGCGTAAATATAAAGTGCATTATAAATTAAATGTATTATTATTATTATTATTAAAACTAGTAACAGTGGTGGGGTTGGAATTCTCTTTTCCAAAAACTTTATTCCTCAGTCCATGGAATCTGAAGAGGTAATTGAAGGCTGTCTGTTGAAAGTAAGAGCAGTGTATGAGAAAGTAAAAACTGTGTTTATTAATATCTATGCTCCAGTTGTGGGAGTGGAGAGAGTCGTGTTTCTAGATGTTTTGAATGAAGTTATTGGGAAATGTAGCAGTAAGGAATATTTATTTATTTGAGGAGATTTTAACTGTACTGAGGACAGCAGGTTAGACAGGAACCATGCAGAGCCTCTAGCTGCTTGTGGCACTCGCCTGATTCAGCTTATGGAAGCTCAGGAGCTATGTGATGTGTGGAGAGATTTTCATGGTCAGCAGCGACAATTGGACCCATGCTAAAGATAATTTATTGTCAATGGCCAGGCTCGATCGTTTTTATTGTTTTAAACATCAGACAGTTTCTGTCTTTATAAAGTGTGTGAAAGCCAGTAGTGCTTATTGGCATTTTAACACAGCTTTATTGGAAGATAAAAATTTTAGATACTTTTTTGGAAAAACCACCAGAGCACAAAATCTGATTTTATTTCTTTACAACAATGGTGGGATTTTGGAAAAGTTCTGATAAGACAATTTTGTCAGCAGTACAAAAGTCACAAAAGCCTTGGCGAGTTCAGTTAAAGCTCTGGAGTCTGAGGTGGAGGAGCTCAGAGACTTAGCTGAAGCCACAGGAGACCAACGCCATACTCAGAGACTTGAAGCTAAGAAGTCTGTTTTAGCCAACGTGCTGGGGGTCTCAGCTCAGGGGGCTCTCGTTAGGTCCCGTTTCCAACATATAGCCCACATGGATGTTCCATCACACTTTTTCTTTGGTCTGGAGCGTAAGAATGGACAGAAAAGGTTCATTCACAGTTTAAAGGGTGACACTGGACACTGGAGGGCGTCTGCCACTGAGCTGCAGAAGGGCGGTCCTTACTTTGCTGCCTAAGAAAGGTGACCTGCAGTTTATCAAAAACTGGAGACCTGTGTCACTGCTCTGCTCAGATTATAAGCTCCTCTCTAAGGTGTTGGCAACCAGGTTGAGAAAAGTGATGTAGAAAGTGATTCACTGTGATCAGACTTATTGTGGACCTGCAGGTTGATTTCTGATAACATTGTTTTGATTTGAGACTCTTTAGAGATCTGTAAGCTGTTCGGCCTCAGAGCTGGAATCATATCTATTGATCAAGAAAAAGTCTTTGATCGTGTTGAGCACGAATATTTATGGCTCCCTTTGAGTGCTTTTGGTTTTGGTCCTGGTTTTATTGATAAAGTTAAGGTTTTGTACCGTGACATTCAGAGTGTGCTGAAAATGTTTGGAGCTTTAAGCGCTCCTTTTCAAGTCCAAAGGGGAATTAGAGGGTTGTGCCCTCTCTGGCATGTTATATTCTTTAGCTTTTGAGCCTTTGTTGCATACACTTAGATGTGATCTTCAGGGATTGACCATTCCAGGTTGTAATGCACCCTTAAAGCTGTCAGCCTCTGCAGATGACCTGGTCATCCTAGTGGATACTCAGCAGGACACTGACATGTTGGTAAGGGATGGAGTTCAGTTTGGCTCTTTATCCTCAGCCAAAGTTAACTGGGACAGAAGTGAAGCTCTGTGCGTTGGAGGTGTACTGGAGAAACAGCTAAGCTTGCCTGGGGGGTTAATCTGGAAGAGTGGAGGGTTCAAATATTTAGGGTTTTTCTGGGTGATCAGTCCTTTGGTCTGAAAAACTGGGAGAATGTTCTAGAAAAGGTGAAAGGTCGTTAAACAAGGTGGAAGTGGATTTTGATGAAGATGTCCTACAGAGGCAGAGTCCTTATTACTAATAATCTGGTATCGTCCACTTTATGGCATCACCTGTCATGTGTTGACCCCCCACCAAGATCCAGGCCCTTCTTGTTGACTTTTTCTGGGACAAACTGCACTGGGGGCCTCAGAGTGCTGTATTTGCCAAAGGACGATGGAGGACAGGGCCTGATCCACCT